AGATCGATACAAATCCGATGAGATTTAGGGGTCGGGAAAAAATACGGGTACCTTTCTGAGAATGCCTGTGAGGTCAGACTCCGTTCGAGCGTGCAATTCAAACCAGAGTCGGAGTCGCAGTCGCCAAAATTTTCTAGACTCCGACTCCAGACTCGGAAATGTCAATGCTGTGATTCATTCCCTGTTCCTAGTTGGTTCTTCATTACATTTTATAGCTGATTTTCATAAGTTTTGGAGTGCTGACACATAATTTTCGTTCAAAAAATGACACAAAATCTTCGGGACCTTTCTCAATTCTCGTCAAATGTCTGCGACAGGCTCAAGTACTGTTCACACGCAGACAGTTACACAGTCACACAGACAGTCACACAGACAATCACACAGACAGTCGCACAGACAGTCACACAGCCAGTCACACAGACAGTCACACAGCAGGACCTCGGCTAAGGAATTTCGACTGGGGAGATGGGGACAAACCCGACTCCAGAATGTCAGATACCTACCACCTAACATACACCGTATAAGCGGACCTTTACACCACGCGTATTATATATATATATATATATATATATATATATATATATATATATATATATATATATATATATATATATATATATATATATATATATATATATATATATATATATATATATATATATATATATGCATGTTTATGCATGTTTGTGTAAAAATGACAGCATAACTGAGAATGTCTGAGAATGTCTGAGAATGTCTGAGAATGTCAGCATAACTGAGAATGTCATAACTGTATGTCTGAAGATGTTAATGGTGATATTAACGAAACGTTACCCGGCAATATAGGCACAATTTTACATGAATTTGAAACAGATGGCAAGAAGATCGTACGAAGTTTAGAGAACTTGGCAAAAAAGCAAACAAACGCCCGTTATGCTGTCATTTTTACACAAACATGCATCAATGAGAACCTGCTGCCCAAATTTACACACATATATATATATATATATATATATATATATATATATATATATATATATATATATATATATATATATATATATATATATATATATATATATATATATATATATATATATATATATCAGGGTTGGCATTTTTGCCGGCAAAAACTAGTTTATGCCATTTGCCGGTTTAAACCGGTTTCAACCGGCAAAAAGTGGCAAAAACTGGCAAAAACTAAAATCTATCATGATGCTATGCCTAGACATGCATTTGAACAGGAAACATTTTAAAGAGGATTCAGTGAAAGCTTTATGCTTTCAAACAGAAGTCAGATATTGACCATTGCAGTGTTTAATACCTCAGAAGCATTTTCATGGGCTTTCCATAAGTAACCAGTAAGACGCCTTTTGGGGGTGACAAATGAGCCAGTGCAAGGGCGAGTCCTGCACATGCAGAAGTGCGAAAGAGTATCAGCTGCCACTGATATGTGCACGGCACCCTACTTACCGGTTCCTAACGGTGCCAGTACCAAATTTGAGCGCAATCGAGGCAGCCGTTCTCGAGAACTGTAAGCGTCGCCCCTCTTGTGCGCATGTGGAAAGTGGAGGTGTTCCAAATTTGAGAGCAATCGGCCCAGCCATTCTCGTGTTCTGCTCGGAAGCGTCCCTTGCACGTGTGCACGTGCATTAGCATCCCAACCGTGATACATGGAAATGCATTGTGTGCAAGGCATTGTGTGATGGACGTCTACCAACATGCAGTCATTTTAAGCAGAGGTTAACTAATTTGGCAAACTTCATCATGTTTAGTGCCCCTCTATAACTTCTAGAAATGCATTTGTGCATTTCAAATCAATTGGAAACTAGAAAAGTTGTAGTTTCGGCCTCCTGAGTTTTAGCCAGTTTTTGCCAGTTTCTGCCACCGGGGTTTCTGCCAGCCGGTTAAAACCGGTTAAAACCACTGGCAGAAACCAGTTTTTGCCACCCCTGCCAACCCTGATATATATATATATATATATATATATATATATATATATATATATATATATATATATATATATATATATATATATATATATATATATTAGGGTGGCACTTAATTTCGACTTTTTTAATTTCGACCGGGACGGGTAGCCATATTGTTCTACCCCACGAAAAAATGATCTGTATGAAATTTTATCAAAAAATATTTATATTTAGAGGTAGCTCAATGGGGTCATACTTGGTACATATTGAGAAAACGTATATTGTGAACGGGGATTCAGATTTGTGTGTCGCGCCATTCCAAGCATTGTCATATTTGAGCTGTAACACGTTTAAATGAATGATAGATGCCTTCCTATTTGTTTCATAACCACAGTGTTTCTCGCCGCAAACGCGCTGTGACGCAATGCGTGATTCAACCAATGGCCGTTCAGCGTAGCTTACTTTGTTCGGTGACGGTGGCCCGCTGCTAGGCGTGCAACTTCAGCTCTTCTCTCGTATTACGATGGTTAGGAAGGGTCACGAGACTGCTGGCACTTACCGGGGTTACATAAGCAAATAAATGCCTATCAGGAATGGTTTTTCTTCGCTGAGTATTGTGATCCGTTTGTAATACGCATTTACTCTGCTCATGTATCCCAGGTTACTGATGCGCAGGGGGACACTGCCAGTGTACGGCCACAGGGCAGGTCTCCGTGTCTTCATGATGTCAGGGAGAAGACGTGCACGTGAAAAAGATAAGTTGTGTTTTGCTAAGCCATTTCAGAACATTTTTCGCTAGCCAGGCTCAAATTGTCAGGCCGCAGCAAACGCTGTTCTAGAATCCCTCGATGAGTGAGAGTTGAAGGATTGAGTGAAAGCGCTCACTTTTGACACAAGTGCATCGAACACCGGCCTCAATGCAGGAGCCTGCACGATCATCAAGCAGCGGCTCGAGCAGGACTTGCTCCATCTGACTTGCCACGACATTTACGAGTTTGTTCTATAAAGACATTTTCAGCCTGCCTCGGCCCGTCCAGCGGCCCGGACGTTGTTTTGTTTAAGCGCTTCCATAAAAAGTGGGCGGCTAGATGGAACGAAGCCATAAACCTTCCAAAACTGTGACATGTCCCACCTCCACAACCCGCGTGATGCTCTTGCACAGTTCGGTCGTATATCCTTGACCACCAGCACTCACGCGACAACCGTGAGATTCTGGAGCTGGCCATCACTGTCCTCGGTGGTGCTCCGAAACGAGGTATGAAGATCGCTCGCCCCGATATGCTCCTTGTGTGCTGGTTGACCAATGTCATTTACGCTATGAAGTTTTACCTCTTCCGAGCACAATCCCGGCTCACTACGTCTAAAAAGAAGAGCCTCCAGCAAATCGTGACCTTTGTGGTAACAACGTAGTTTTCGGCTCGATTCAATGCACCGCTTCTGGCGTCTGCACCAGCGCAAGATCTCGACCTCCTCAAGTCCCTTCTGGAGTACGAATTGGTGTCCGTACTGGTGTCCAAGGCGACAGCCATTGCCTTCAGCCGTCACCTCTGGTATCTAAATGAGAGGCTGGTCGCCCTCAACTTCTAATGAAGGAGACTACGATTGCTGCTACTAAACGTGAGATGGCTGCATCGTTACGAGAGGAGGAGAGGGCCGAGTGCCCCTCCCCCCCCCCGTCGAGCCCACGTTGAACTTACTATAGCTTCAGTCTCTAGCAAGTCCACGGCAGACTTGGTCATATCACAACTGGCTTCACCAGCTTCTTCAGCATCCTCGGTATGGACACCGACTTCCTCTTGAAGGAGCTGATTCTTTGGGAGGTCAAGCCATTCTACAACGCCGCGATGCGCTACATGAGGTCTCTTCACGCCTCTACGACTTCGCGGAACGAGGCATTTTGTTGATGGCCAGGAAATCGATCTAACCCCCACGAAGGATAAAGACTAACAGCAGCTCCTCTTGTAGGTCGTCGAGGAGGAAAGAAGCAAGCATTCTGACATACGCCAGGCGATTGTACCTTCTAAGTAGGCAAGACTAGCCGAAGAATAACGTGTACAAGTGTTGGCTGATTACGGATGATACCGCTTTCTCTTTTCATGGAGTTATGCAGTAAGTTATGCATACCTTCAAAAGAATTATGTACCTCATATGTACCTATATATCTGAGCTTTAGGTGCTGAAACGTTTCGGTAAAGTCTTGGCAACGTCCAATGTCATTGTGAACATCAGAAATACACGTGGAAATTAAAATTTCGGCAAGGTTGTGTTTTTCACAAAAAAGTGAACTTTGACCTGGTTGAGCTACCTCTAAATAAACATATTTTCCAAAAATATTTTACACGCAACGTTTTCTCGGGTGGTAGAACAGATTGGCTGCCCGTCCCGTTGAAAATTCTCAAAACGAAATTTTAGCCCCGTTTTAGTGCCACCCTAATATATATATATATATATATATATATATATATATATATATATATATATATATATATATATATATATATATATATATATATATATATATATATATATATATATATATATATATATATATATATATATATATATATATATATATATATATATATATATATATATATATATATATATATATATATATATATATATATATATATATATATATATATATATATATATATATATATATATATATATATATATATATATATATATATATATATATATATATATATATATATATATATATATATATATATATATATATATATATATATATATATATATATATATATATATATATATATATATATATATATATATATACCGCATATATATAGTTCAACCGCAGCCGTAGTGCGAAAATCCCTGCCAACCTTACCCCACGGCGGAGCTCGGTTGCAATTTGTAAATACGCTCGCCGCGCACCGCCGACAGTCAGCTGACGCGGCCGGCGGCGCGTCTCAAGGTCACTGGAGGTCAGCCGGGCCGCGGGCCGCGGGCCGCCGGGGTGGCCGTGACGTCACAGCCAGCGAGCGCTGAGCGCCGGAACACCCACTGTTGGTTTATCACCTCCTAACCATGAATGTATGAATAACTTCCCCCGCTGCTCACCATCTGTGTCTAGTAGCGTAATCCGAGACCCCAGCTCCGTGGCCAGGTAGCTGATGGTGTCGGCAGCCACCCCCTGGAGAGATACCGACAGACCACTCCCGTACCGTCCCGGCCACCTCGGCTCCGTCACCTCCAGCCCTGTCGGACAGAGCTGTGTTGGCTGACAGCAGTCGGACGGAGCTGCTGCCGGGTCGGGAGGCGGCTGACACTGTGGTGTCAAACCCTGACACAAACGACACTGACCAAGCCAGGGTCGAGCCTCACTGTTGGACAGTAGGTAATTGAACATTGTGCACAATGTATGCACTACGCTTATACCTACATGCGTCAGTTAACCCTCGCCCGCACATGCCACTTTCCCATCCTAGAACGCACATGGGGGGGGGGGGGTTGCCACCCCCGCGCCATTTCGTTCCTGTTGGAGATAGAGCTTAGCGGTAAAAACCAAAAAGATTCTTTGGGAAGAGACGAATCCAATGATACTCAGTTTTACCTTCTCAGGTCAGTCAATGACCTTCCAGGTAATGTCAAACTAAAAAATGTTGCTGTTTTGGGTCACCGTTGGATAAGTGCGCTGCTTATCATATACCGATGACGATGCTGTTTTCTGGTGCCAAGCCAGCTAGAACCTCTTTGTCACACTACCCGACCAGATTTTTGCTGATGAGGTCATTTCAGGTCAAGTTAGGTCAAGGCAGTTATACGTGTTGTGTGAGTCTGTGTGTATACTGATTACTGATGTTTTTGTGATGTTTTCACTGATTGTTTTTGTGTCCATATTACATAAAATCATGATCTGAGAAGCTTTTACCAAAAATCCAGTAAAAAAAATCACAAAAAGTAAATTCAGCTTGCCTAAAACGCAATTATCTTAGATGACCTAGGTTGACCTTGACCCTGACCTTGACACCTGTACATCGTCGAACAACATGCTCCATGATAGGTGGGAGGTAAGACTGGCAAAAAAGGCCGAAATCAAGGTGTCAAAAGCTCACAAGGCCCATGGCAAACGCAAGATGCTGAGAATTGGCCATTTTGGTCATGACATGACCTGAAAAACAAGGTCATATCTCCGAAACCAAAAATCACAGAAACTTTAAATTTTCAGTGGACATCAAGAAAGGATAGAGGAGCAGCTATACCAGAAATCAGCCTTCTAGCTCTAAAAATGTTGAGTGCAGAGCAGAAAGACTACCTGGTGGGGTGGCACCCCCCCCCCCCATGTGCGGGCAAGGGTTAACCCGCGCCCCGTTAGGCTCTGCCGAGCAAAGCGCACAGTTGGGTGGGGGGCAATTTGGCCCCACCCCTAAGATCTCGAGAACCACGCAATCTAGCGACAAGCGGCAAACGGTGTTGGATAGCCCTATCAGGGAACTACCTTATGACCCAATTTTATTGACCTAGGTCAAACCGATGACGTCACAGGTCAGGTCAAAGGTCGAATTTTCACCGTTTACAGGCATTTCAAGAAATGCGTTCTAAAATCAAGTAAAATGCATTTCATTGAAAATAATCGATGGGGAAATGTTCTTCAAACACATATTTTGCTATTTGAGGTCACTGATACCAGGTCAGGTCACAGAGGTCAGGTCACTGGGGGTCACAATATGAAAGTGTCGTGTAATATATGTTTTATGGTCCATTTTACATGACAAATGCGTTTATGTGGGTCAGGCAGCCTTTGGGCCGTGTTAGTTCACGTTTTGGTCAAGGTCAGGTCAAATTAGGTCAAATTTCAAAGTTGACATTTTTGCATAACATGGGTATCGATTTGATGCGGCTCGTTACGGGGAGTTCAATGGTGGTCTTTGTTTTGCCCTACGTGGTCTAGATTCGCTAAAAATTGAGTTCAAAAATTTGACGTCATCATTTTTGAACAGTTTTTTCGCTATAACTTGGCCAAAAAACGTGATGTCGATCTGGAATTTGGTATGTATATAGAATAGCGCAGGGACTATCACATATATTCCGTTTTTTTCGCAATTCGGATTTTTTTGTTTTTCTAAAAAAAATCTATTTTTTGAATTTTTGGGGGTCAAAAACCCAAAATTTTAAAAATTCGAGATAACAGTTTTGTAGCGCCGCTTGTTGTCTACTAGACCATATGAAGCACTTTGAAATTGCTTGGTAACTGTAGATTTGGTGAGCGTTTCAGGATTGCTTGTTTTTTGCTCATTTTTGCTCGAACATGACCTCAGTTTGACCTCAATAACTCCTGACCTAAGGTGACCTTAGACTTGTAATTTGGTGTGAAGGTGTCAAATTGATGCCCGGGAAGGTACTGAAAATTTGGCGTTTTCTTGCTATTCAGGAAAAAAAACACAGGGAGGGGGGGGGGGCAAAATTGCCCCCCCCCCCCCAACGGGGCGAGGGTTAATTAATACAGTTCAGTACATACAGGTCATACAGGTTCAGTACATACAGGTCATATTCGTTTGAAAGGGTATTAAGTAGGTAGGTACAATACAGTGGTTAACCTTCGCCCCAGTGCAGTGGGGGGGGGGGGGGGGGCATATGTTACCACCCTGTCGCGTTTTTTGCGTGCTTTTGGTACATCAATTTTGGACAATGTGTGAAATTTTTGACCCCAGGTCATGTCAGGTCAGGTCACCAGGTCAAGTTAACTGACCAAGCCTAAAAAAAAGTTTGCAATCATGTCCAGCCTGCAGTGTTAGTCAGAAAGGTTTCAAACTTGGTGGGTTGCATGCTGTTATGGGCGCCTACAACTTTTATATCTCGGATTTTTTATATCCGTGACCTAAGGTCAGGTCAGTGGCATGACCTTTCCATTACAAGTCAATGGAGAAAAATGAAAATGCCTCTAGATCCGTCTGTACGCATGGGAACAGTCCAAATATTTCAGAATCACAATTATTTGGACCACCCGTGATGACCTAGGTGTCATTTTTGCTGATAGCCTCTAGAAAGGTCATCCGAGGTCATTAGAGGCTACAAACAGATTTTTGCCAATAACTCGCGATTGGAAAAAGATAGAACGCTGGGGATGGTTTCATTGTGTTTGTCTTGTTGAGACGCATCGACTGATATGCAACATGACCTTTTCCGGTCAGGTCATGACCTTGACCTGAGGTCAAATTTTCATGTTGACCTTTCAAGGTCAAATTATAGTTCATTTGACGCGTCTCGGCGAGGGGAACACGATTCTGGCAATAGAAATGTGGCTTTTTGTAGTCGAAAGTTATTGTCGAAAAACACTTTTCGTAAAAACAGCTATTTTTGGAGTTTTTGCCCTCTGGAGGCTAAACCGTTGACCTGAGGTCAATTTTGATTTTGATCTTATCAAAAGAAGAGTTCAAAAGCTATCGATTGCTCTTCCCTGCGTTATTCTAGCTACCATAGTTCCTGAGATAGCGGCATGTTTTCTGAAAAATATAATGACAATTGGCAAATTTTGACCTTTGATGACCTCTGGTGACCCCAATATTGCTCTAAGGTGAAACATGACTGAAATACTTTCAAACGTACGCATTGAGAGCTATCGACTGCTTTTTACCGCGTCTTTCTAGCCCTCTTAATTTTTGAGTTAGAGGTGGGTGGTAACATATGCCCCCCCCCCCCTCACTAGGGCGAAGTTGGCTGAGACCGCCACTGGGGCGCGGGTTAATGTTTGTGTAGCCTGTAGGCATGGCATACTTATGTCCGCTGAACGGTTATCACTGAAACTGTTACTTATGTACTATGTAAGAACCTACCACCACTCAGAAGTAATAGTACGTGTTTCCTCGGCTACCTACTTCTCACCTGCAACGTATAGCGTCCTAAGTGACGTCGGCAGCAGCCGCAGCCACCGCCCCGTTCCGAAAAACGGGACTCTGACGGTCAGCTCCTCCAAGCGGGGAAGACTCTGCAGGAGCGCCGTCAGCTGATTCTCGCCAAGGGCTGACGGAGCGTCGAACGTCGTCATGGTTGCAAGGCCGAGCGCCTCCTCAAGGGTTTTGAATACACTGGCGACCGATGGCTGGGGCTCCGTCTGTACCGTGACGTCATTGACTGCCGATGGCTGGGGCTCCGTCTGTACTATGACGTCATGAAACGCTTTTGTAATTTTACTGAAAAGACAAGAAAAAGTGCATAAATCAAAATGCAAAAGAAGTTCACAACTTTAGTTGGCTCTTTTGATGATACGATATGCATTTACATATCGTCGTCAGCAATAGTATGTTGCCAACTCTATTCGGTTGAATAAAAGCGTCCAGAGTTGATTTCATACGAATCTGAACGATTTGATACGACCGATTAGATTTTGTGACACGATTGCTGATGAAGACATGTAAATACGTGCGGGATATGGTGCCCCGAACTGGCCAACTTTATGCAGATTGCAGGACGTCTGTCGAAAACTGGAACAATACGATCGAGACTAAACGGCTGACTTGCAAAAGATGGTACGAATTCAAGACATGTTTCTTTGATTGGGCGGAAAATTCAATTACAAGTTACTCGACCTTCAAAGACCTAGTGGTGGTTTATTTCTTACACCTTCTACAAAGAAAGTTTACTTATCACCATGACAGCTCTCCGAACTCTCTCAGCCCCCACAGCCACCCCTGCTGCCTCCCAGTCTCACCCCTGGGGACGGCCGGATGGCGCCGCTCGCCGGCGGACCTCCTGCCGCAGCTCCTCCACCACGGTCTGGCGAGTGGTCCGCTCCTCGATAACTGCCTGCTCCAGGCGGACCACCGCACCGTGAAGTGCGGCGTTCTCCCCCTTGAGCTTCTTCGTGTCCGAATTGTCCTTCGCCACTACCTCACTCAGAATGGTCACCTTTTCACGAAGGGGGGCCACCACTCCACGAAGGGCGGACATCTCTTCACGAAGGGCAGCCACCACTTCACGAAGGGCGGACACCTCCCGGCGAAGGGCGACCAGATCTTCACGCACATCTTTCATCTCCATCTGTAATGCAGAATTACAGTTTTTTTTACGTTTCTACTAATCATAAAAAGGTGACATAGTACGTAGTGTTGCGTCGTACGCATTACGACATGTGCAGCGTAGTGTCTTATCACGTCACAAAACGACATGTCATTACGCATTACGACATGTTTTGTCATGCAACCCGTATTGTTGTATACCAGGCAGGCAAGCTTGGCAGGCAGGCAAACAGGTCTTAGGTAACCAATATAGAAATTTACTATCGTTACTAGTGTTTTGCAAAAAAAAAAAGCGATATAATCCCGCGCCCCAGTGGCGGTCTCAGCCAACTTCGCGCTAGTGGGTGGGGGGGGGGGTGGGGGCATATGTTACCACCCACCTCTAACTCAAAAACTAAGAGGGCTAGAAAGACGCGGTAAAAAGCAGTCGATAGCTCTCAATGCGTACGTTTGAAAGTATTTCCGTCATTTTTCATCTTAGAGCAATATTGTGGTCACCAGAGGTCATCAAAGGTCAAAATTTGTCAAATGTCATTATATTTTTAGAAAACATGCCCTTATCTCAGGAACTATGGTAGCTAGAAAAACGCACGGAACAGCAATCGATAGCTTTTGAACTCTTCTTTTGATAAGATCAAAATCAAAATTGACCTCAGGTCAACGGTTTAGCCTCCAGAGGGCAAAAACTCCAAAAATAGCTGTTTTTACGAAAAGTGTTTTTCGACAATAACTTTCGACTACAAAAAGCCACGACATTTCTATTGCCAGAATCGTGTTCCCCTCGCCGAGACGCGTCAAATGAACTATAATTTGACCTTGAAAGGTCAACATGAAAATTTGACCTCAGGTCAAGGTCATGACCTGACCGGAAAAGGTCATGTTGCATATCAGTCGATGCGTCTCAACAAGACAAACACAATGAAACCATCCCCAGCGTTCTATCTTTTTCCAATCGCGAGTTATTGGCAAAAATCTGTTTGTAGCCTCTAATGACCTCGGATGACCTTTCTAGAGGCTATCAGCAAAAATGACACCTAGGTCATCACGGGTGGTCCAAATAATTGTGATTCTGAAATATTTGGACTGTTCCCATGCGTACAGACGGATCTAGAGGCATTTTCATTTTTCTCCATTGACTTGTAATGGAAAGGTCACGCCACTGACCTGACCTCAGGTCACGGATATAAAAAATCCGAGATATACAAATTGTAGGCGCCCATAACAGCATGCAATCCACTAAGTTAAAAACCTTTCTTACAAACACTGCAGTCTGCAGGCTGGACATGATTGCAAACTTTTTTAGGCTTGGTCAGTTAACTTGACCTGGTGACCTGACCTGACATGAACTGGGGTCAAAAATTTCACACATTGTCCAAAATTGATGTACCAAAAGTTACCCTAAGCACGCGCCGCGGTTTTTTATTTACACGCAAAAAAACGCGACAGGGTGGTAACATATGCCCCTCCCCCCCCCCCCCCCCCCCCACTAGGGCGAAGGATAAAGAAACGTTTATCAGTACGAATGTTTACCCTTGGCCAGGCCTTTTTCATAACGCAGACGGCGAGGGGAGAGGGTCTGGCACGACCGCTGGCGATTGGCTCCTAATGCAATTAGAAACACCAGATGTATAGGGAAGGTGAACTCATACGACATCTCGTCCCTGTGGCCTGTTCAAATTTAGTGACTGATACAGTCACACAGTCACACAGCAGTTACACAGACAGTTACACAGCAGTCACACAGACAGTCACACAGACAGTCACACAGACCATCACACAGATAGTCACACGGAGTAACACAGACAGTCACACAGACAGTCACACAGTCACACAGTCACACAGACAGTCACACATACAATCACACATACAGTCACACAGACAGTCACACAGACAGTCACACACACAGACAGTCACACAGACAGTCACACAGACAGTCACACAGACAGTCACACAGTCACACAACAGTACTGACACAGTCACACATTCACACAGACAGTCACACAGTCACACTGGCAATCACACAGTCACACAGACAGTCACACAGACAGTCACACAGACAGTCACACAGACAGTCACACAGACAGCCACACAGTCACACAGACAGTCACACAGACAGTTACACAGACAGTCACACAGACAGTTACACATACAGTCACACAGACAGTCACACAGACAGTCACACAGGCAGTCACACAGACAGTCACACAGACAGTCATGCAGACAGTCACACAGACAGCCACACAGACAGTCACACAGTCACACAGCAGTTACAGTCACACAGACAGTCACACAGCAGTTACACAGACAGTTGCACAGACAGTCACAAAGACAGTCATACAGACAGTCACACAGACAGTCACACAGACAGTCACATAGACAGTCACACAACAGTACTGAGTACTGAGTACTGACACAGTCACACAGTCACACAGACACACACACAGACAGTCACACACACAGTCACACACACAGTCACACACACAGTCACACACACAGTCACACAGAAAGTCACACATACAGTCACACAACAGTACTGACACAGTCACACAGTCACACAGACAGTCACACACACAGTCACACAGACAATCACACAGTCGCACAGACAGTCACACAGACAGTTACACAGACAGTCACACACACAGTCACACAGACAGTCACACAGACAGTCACACAGACAGTCACACAAACAGTCACAAAGACAGACACACAGACAGTCACACAGTCACACAGCAGTTACACAGACAGTCGCACAGACAGTCACACAGTCACAAAGACAGTCACACAGACAGTCACACAACAGTACTGACACAGTCACACAGACAGTCACACAGACAGCCACACACACAGTCACACAGACAGCCACACACACAGTCACACAGTCACACAGACAGTCACACAGACAGTCACACAGACAGTCACACAGACAGTCACACAGCCAGTCACACAGCAGGACTGACACAGTCACACAGACAGTCACACAGCAGGACTGACACAGTCACACAGACAGTCACACAGACAGTCGTGTCGCAGGGCTCATGGGCTTGCTTTTCACACAGGCTCCTAAGGAGCTCTACTGAGCTCTAAGAAGCTTTCAGAGGAGAGGGTCCAAACCGGCCTCTAAGAGTCCCACTGGTGGCCATGTTCTCTGAGGGCCCATACAGGGATATTTGAGGATCTTATACATACGTAGACCTCTGAAGGGACACACGGATCTTTGAGGATGCCTTCGAAAATTTCTGAGAACCTTAACTGGCCTCTGATAGCTCAGCCGAACTTTTGAGGCGACAGGCTTGGCTAACCTCAAGCCGGCATCTGAGGGGTCACAACTCATGTGTCCCTCTGAGGGCCGCAACACATGTTTATGTCCCTACGTAGCGTCCTTAAGGATTCGACACAGACCCCGATGGTTCACACTGTTATCTGAGGGCTCCAAGCTCACCCTGGGCCTAGTCGCTTAGCGCTCGTCACCCACACTGACTTCTGAGGGCCCCACCTTGGGCTCAGAAAGCCCTAAAGCACCACATGCACGTAAATGTTTGGGGTGACCCACGCCGATCTCCGGGATCCTAAGCAGGCTTCTGAGAGTCCAAACTGACCGTGAGTGGCCTGAAATGGCTTGGAAGTACCAAGCCTATCTTTAAGGGATCCCTTGCCGCTATGCCGTGGGTAACTTTTGGTTCTGTTAAACATTTTTTGTTCGCGTTTGCAGCGCTTCCCTTCGCACGAAAAACGAGAGCTCACACTCGAGTGAACAAAAAAAAAAACACTTCCCGTCACGGGAGCAAAGATGAAATTACTTCAGATTCACACTTGCGACATTCACTCTCCGCCGAATGCCCAACTTAGGGTGCGTTCGGAGAGCGCGGAATATTCCCCGTCATCGTGAAAATTCCCTGTGGGAGAGGGACATTCCATCCATACCGCCAATTTCAAGGATCGCCGCTACTGCGCCAAGTTGAGTTCGTGGGATTTTGTTTGGGTTATTTGGGTTATTTGGTTATTTAGAACGCTACATCTATGGCAAAATGTAATTAGAATGAAGCCCTTGAAGAAAGAACAACTAAGAAAAATTACAATTATTTTCAAAAAGTCCTATCTGTACTGTGCCCCAACGGTCATGTGACCTCCAAAGGTCATCGAGGTCACCTGAGGTCACCATATTCGAAACGGCTGATGAAATCGCATACGCTGAATCGACTGGTGGTATTTTCGTCACGATCGGCCCAGTAGTTCCTGAGTTATAGAATGGCTGCAATAGGTGCAAAAACGTTAAGTTGACCTTTTGAGGTCACCGAGGTCACCTGAGGTCACCATATTCGAAACGGCTGATGAAATCGCATACGCTGATTCGACTGGTGGTGTTTTCGTCGCGATCGGCCCAGTAGTTCCTGAGTTAAAGAATGGCTGCAATAGGCGTCAATGCCGAGTTGACCTCTTGAGGTCACCGAGGTCACCTGGGGTCACGAGCTTCGAAACGGCTGATAAAATCGTACCTCCTGATTCGAATGGTGTTTCGTTCGTTCTGATCGGTCCAGTAGTTCCTGAGTTATAGAATGGCTGCAAGGATGGCGGTCGAATAGTGTTGTCCTTGAGTTAGTAGCTACGGTCGGCGGCAGCCGACCCCAGGGTATATAGAACGCCGACCCGGCCGACACGAGGGCCGAGAACAACCTATAAAAATTGTCGTACACGGCCTATGTTTAAACCCAAACATCGCAAATAAGTCCTAATTCCGATTTTTGGCTCAAAGTGAATCCCTATTAGCCACTAGCACACAGCGTGACAGCGGTCACAAAATCGGTCTCAAGAAATTCAGTACCAGACAGGTCTTGAATTGGGCCCTGATCGCGACATAACCCTATATACTCTGACATAACCTGCAATCATAACCATAAGACCTTGTCCCTATCAATGGATCGGCAAACAACATACCTCCTCGGAATAAAACATACAATTCATAAAAGGTTTACTATATTATACTGGTCAGAGCACAATATGCATCAAGCGATGGCTCATCAGCGTATCTCGTTCCATTGTTCATGAAACTTCTTATTTCTTTCGTAAACTTGTTTGTCTGATAAGATGTAATGAAATAACTGGAGTTTTGCACCACACACAAACAGCCAACAGCCAACAGCCTCGCTAAACAGCCAACCTTACCAGCCACCCTGTAGCTGTAATGATAAGCCCACCATTTTTAGACAGCGTTCCCCTCCAACCCTCATTGCTATATACAAGGTGAGGCCACAACAGCGAAATACCTGTCGGCCAAACGCACTGGCCATACGCACTGGCCAACTGCCATCGCCGGCCAAACGACAACACATGGCTGAGGTCAGGGGCCTCAAGGCTCGTCCGAATTTCCAGAGGGAACTGTCCAATCAACTCGCCAATCCCCTGGGAACAGTCATCGCGTCTCTCTCTCTCTCTCTCTCTCTCTCTCTCTCTCTCTCTCTCTCTCTCTCCTCTCTCTCTCTCTCTCTCTCTCTCTCTCTCTCTCTCTCTCTCTCTCTCTCTCTCTCTCTCTCTCTCTCTCTCTCTCTCTCTCTCTCTCTCTCTCTCTCTCTCTCTCTCTCTCTCTCTCTCTCTCTCTCTCTCTCTCTCTCTCTCTCTCTCTCTCTCTCTCTCTCTCTCTCTCTCTCTCTCTCTCTCTCTCTCTCTCTCTCTCTCTCTCTCTCTCTCTCTCTCTCTCTCTCTCTCTCTCTCTCTCTCTCTCTCTCTCTCTCTCTCTCTCTCTCTCTCTCTCTCTCTCTCTCTCTCTCTCTCTCTCTCTCTCTCTCTCTCTCTCTCTCTCTCTCTCTCTCTCTCTCTCTCTCTCTCTCTCTCTCTCTCTCTCTCTCTCTCTCTCTCTCTCTCTCTCTCTCTCTCTCTCTCTCTCTCTCTCTCTCTCTCTCTCTCTCTCTCTCTCTCTCTCTCTCTCTCTCTCTCTCTCTCTCTCTCTCTCTCTCTCTCTCTCTCTCTCTCTCTCTCTCTCTCTCTCTCTCTCTCTCTCTCTCTCTCTCTCTCTCTCTCTCTCTCTCTCTCTCTCTCTCTCTCTCTCTCTCTCTCTCTCTCTCTCTCTCTCTCTCTCTCTCTCTCTCTCTCTCTCTCTCTCTCTCTCTCTCTCTCTCTCTCTCTCTCTCTCTCTCTCTCTCTCTCTCTCTCTCTCTCTCTCTCTCTCTCTCTCTCTCAGTCTCCCTCTCCGTTGACGGCCACCTGGCGGCGGCGGGCGGTAGCTCAGCCTCGGCGCAGAGCGGCCAGGAGCAGCGGCAGCGCCAGGGCGGCGCCGGAGGACGACCGGCAGACGGCGGCCGCGGACGGCACGGGCACCAGCGCGCTCACCCGCGCCCGCAGCCCCGAGTCGGGCGCACAGCCGCTGGCGAACTGCAGGAACGAGTCGGCCGCGTCACCGACACAGAGCGCCTGGCCCAGCGCTGCCACGAACACGTCGCGCTCGATGGGGCTCGGCTGCTGCGGCCGGAGCGCCAGCTCGATGAGCCGCCGCGTGCTCGGACACTCGCAGCAGGTGCAGTCGAACCGGTCGGCCGGCAGACCGGCCAGCGGGCGCCGCTCGAAGGCGCCGCGCAGACGCAGCTCGTCCGGCGACAGGGCGGTGCTCAGCAGCCGGTTGCCGCCGAGCTCGAGCAGCGCCGGCCGCGCCGCCTCGTTCTCCAGCGCCAGCGCGTCCGGCCGCATGTCGGTGACGCTGTTGGAGGTGAAGCGCGCCAGCGGCCGGCAGTCGGCCGGCGCGTGCAGCGACACGTTCAGCGCGCCGGCGTACATGGTGAGCACGGAGGTGCCGTCGGCGCGGAGTCGGCGCACCGAGCCCACCCGCAGGCCGTTGGTGCTCATCGTGTTCACCTTCATGTTGGTGAACTCGAGGAACGACGCGTCGTCACCGGCGTCGCACGTCGACCCGCTGCCCTCCACGTCGTCGTCGTTGTCGTTCTCGATGACGAAGGCGTCGGCCGCGATGAAGCTGAAGGTCGACCCGTGGAAGCGGATCCGTCGCAGCCGGGGCACGCGCGCCACCACGCCGCTGTTGATGAGCTCGATGCTGCTCTCCGTGATGGAGAGCTCGCGCAGGCGCGGCAGGTCGGACAGCGCGCTGCGCACGGCCCGGCCCACGTGCAGTTTGTCCAGGGAGACGGTGCGCAGGTTGCCGAGTCCCTGGAGCGCGCCGTCGGGCAGGCCGCCGCTCAGCTCTCCCAGCGCAATGTGCAGGCGGCGCAGCGGGTGGTCGGCGGCCCCCGCGCGGCCGCGCGTCGCCTCCAGCCGCAGCGTGCTCTGGGACACGTTCACGGCGCGCACCTGGGTCAGCACAAAGTCGAACACGTCGGCGCGGCGGTCGGCCGGCAGAAAGGTCAGCCGCTCGACCGGGTTGTCCTGGCCGCTGGCCAGGCAGCCGACGATCGTCAGCTGGTCGATGGGAGGCGAGTCCGGCTGCCGGCACACGGGAGCCAATGGGGTCAGTTCACGGGGGGGAATACAGGGACCGGTGCACAGCGAGAGATACAGGGTACAACCGGCCCGGGGAAAGGAAGCGTCTACGGACCACGGGCGAGCCGGATCAGTACACCAGTGACCAGGAGAGATACAGGGTACAATCAACCAGGGAGAGCAGGGAGCAGTCAACGGAGGAGAAATCAGTCCACGAACTTACCGCGCGGGCCGCGGGGTATGGCAAAGGCGGTGCGGAAAAAGCACTGTCAATAGGTCAGGAGGGTCAGGGGTCTGGAAGGTCTCTGGCGATTCCAATCTAAAAACGAATAAAAGTTAATAATCAAATTTAAAAGCGCACTATCTTTGCTCAACATCTGTAGTAATGGAGTTTTGGACTGAGAGGAGGGGAAAATAATGTTTATAGAAAGAAGCAAAACATAGAACCGCGGATGAGTTCAATGTCGGCCACACCGTCTCAATGTTTTCAGTTTTACAGAGTATTTCCAGAACCGTATGCACTTTCAGAATTTCAGGCATTTGTTTCGCATTCTTTTTTCAACGACGCAAACACTTATCACAACTTAATCGTGATATCTGGATATATGCATTTATTCTGTGAAATATGCATATGGTTCCAGCGCCACTTTGGAATGCATAAATCAACAGTTATGGCCTTCTCTTAATCCCTGTCAAGTTCAGATAAACCAACATTAAATCGCCTGGTGGGTGGGTCCCCTCCAACGGTATAGCCCCCGCTGACACAGTCACAGGGACAGGTCGGAGTCGGAGTGGTCCCACCCCCCTCCCCGGGCGGCGGTAGGTTCCCCCCGGAGACAGGGACAGGTCGGGGTCGGGGTCGGAGTGTTCCCCTCCCCGGGCGGTACGGTCCCCGCTGAGACAGGGACAGGTCGGGGTCGGAGTAGTCCCCAGCCCGCCCCGGGCGGCGGTAGGTTCCCCGCTGACACAGGGACAGGGACAGGTCGGGGTCGGAGTGTTCCCCTCCCCGGGCGGCGGTAGGTTCCCCGCTCACACAGGGACAGGTCGGAGTCGGAGTAATCCCCTCCCCTCCCCTCCCCGGGCGGCGGCTCGCTCACCGTCTGGCGCAGCCGCTGGCCGCAGGTGCAGGTCACGTTGGGCTCCACGGTGCCGGCTGTGATTCGGCAGCTGCTGCCCGGGTACAGGGTGCTCTGGGCGGCCGCCGGCGCCGGCGCGGCACTCGCCAGCAGCAGTACGGTCAGCGCCGCCAGCAGACCCATGGTGACGAGCTCAACCGACTAACAGACAGGGTCCAACGGGCGGACGGACAGAGCCGAACGGGCGGGCGGACGGACAGAGTCGAACGGGCGGGCGGACAGAGTCCAACGGGCGGACAGACAGGGCCGAACGGGCGGACGGACAGAGTCGAACGGGCGGACGGACGACGGCTCCCTCCCGGCGGCGGTCGGCAGCGCGACTGGCTCGGCCCGCAGCCGGCGCCAGCGGCAGCGCTCGGCGCCGCCAGACGGAAGGCTCGGCTCGGGACGACCCGCGGCCACATCCTGCCGGAGAGCTCCCTCGCACCCGCGCCGCACTCGACTCGCGCAGGCAGGCCGGCCTGGTCCGGTCCGGTCCACCAGTGCTCCACTGTCCTGTCCAGTCCGGTGCAGCACTGGTCCACTGTTCGGTGCGGTGGCGGTCGCTGAGACTGCGGCTAGTCGCGAGATCACCCCCAGAGGCCAGTCACGGCCGCGGGACAGACAGGAACACCGCTGGGCAGACAGGGACACCACTGAGCAGACGGACACCGCTGGGGACACCGCTGGACAGACAGGGACACCGCTGGGGACACCGCTGGACAGACAGGGACACCGCTGGGCAGACAGGGACACCGCTGGGGACACCGCTGGGCAGATAGGGACACTGGGGAGTGGGGACACCGCTGGGCAGACAGGGACACCGCTGGGGACACCGCTGGGCAGACAGGGACACCGCTGGGGGCACCGCTGGGCAGACAGGGACAAACAGGGACACCGCTGGGCAGACAGGGACAGACAGGGGCACCGCTGGGGACACCGCTGAGCGGATAGGGATATCGCTGGACGGACAGGGACATCGCTGGGCAGACAGGGGCACCTCTGGACAGCGCACCTGATCTGCACTGAAGCCTGTCACGGTCAGTCAGCAGCGGTGTTCTCACTCACGATCGGTTTCACCGGTAGAAGCTTCAAAGGTCAGACTTTACTTACCGTTGCCAGTCTATTCGTGGTTAGCATATTTTTGTAATGTCATTACAAAGCAGCAGCGGTTCCAGCCCAAACCGTCTCTCCAACCTTTATGCCGAGAAATCTTCTACGTAATCGACGCGGAGGCAGGCACATATGACATTATCCAAAGTCCCCGGAACTGGCTTTCGACAAAACAGCTTGTCCATTGTCCAAACTCAACAGCAAGTCCGCATAATATCACAATATACTCTGTATTATACATAGCTTATACTCATTTGTTGACAAACGATGATTAGAATAACATTGAGTGAGAGCGGAACCTCATTGCAATTACAGGGCCGCCTTCCACCCCTCCCACCCAGATCACAGGGACTGTACGAGCCGATACAACTTTAATAGATAAGAACAATTTTCTGAGCACTCACCAAAAAGTGAATAATGGAATGACGTATAGGTATGTGTTACTTTGTGTTCCCACAGAACGAAGTTTAGGACGACACATTGGAATCTAACATACGATACAGGTTAATCATGATACCCACAAACTTACACATCAACATGAAATAATCGACTCGGTTAGCTGTTGCTCGCAGAAAATGCAACGTAGACACAACGACGCAAAGCTGAAAATAAGACATTGCCCAACAAAAGTATAGCAATTGTGATATATAAGAATGCCCGAATACAATAAACACTAAAAATAAAACATTCCACTGACTAAAAACATAAAGATATTAGTCATAGTATCATAGCAGCACAATCACATTTTTGACGGAATGTCTTCGCTGTGGAGAGCGGACAGATTCCTAGTAGTGCAGTGGTTGGTCACATATGGCATCACGAGTCCACCCACCTGGGGTCGATTTCCAAGGCCACGACCCTACATGGCGTCATCACTGGCCTATGGCGGCGGGCGGACCGTTGCATAGATGGCCGTGCCGGCCGGCCGGTGTCAGGTCCGGTGTCAGGTCGGGTCGGGTCACACACCACATCACGTGATGGGCCACGTGGTCAGCCGTCCGTCGAGGAAGGCGAGGCACTTGGTGGGCAGGCGCACCCCTGCGGCGCAGCTGGTGGGCGACCCTGCTGCCGCCTGGCGGGCACACGGGCAACCAGTCAGCTCAGCCCACCGCCAACAGCGACTTTTGTTTTGTTTTGTTCAGTTAGGCCCTTTCCGTCCAATGAAACAATTTCAGAGCCGGGAGGATGATAGAAATTAGGGGGAGACATTAGTATGGGCGAGCACCCTGGTGAGTCGCCGGGGCTGAGCCCGTCCAGAGGACAGGCCGACCAGCCCCCAAGCACTCACCGCACCCGGCTACGGTTGTGCTCTTACGGGCATTCTCGCATGGAATAAAGTTGCCCGTCCAGCCCGGAACAGGGGGTTGAGGTGTGGATAAGAAGGATTTGAATGTTCTTGAGGATGGAACTGACGAAACGGTGCTAACAGCTGACAGCGGCAGCTCCGGGCCCACCACACACAGAGACAGAACTCATTAAACACGCAAACAACGCATAAATATGTCCGTTATGCGCTTATCCCCAAACTAATTTCGAATGCCAACACATCAAAACACAAAAATTCAAAACGAGTTGCTTCGTTATCCAAAGCAGTCACTGTTTCGGGCTCTCAATGATATCCATAACGGAGCTACGGGAGGATACCGAGATAGGGAGGCTGAACGGTGTGCTGCTGGGAACAACAAAACAGACAAAGGCAAGACTGAGGAAGCCAAGCTAGACAAGATGGGAAACACGCATCAAACATCGCAGAATGCCCGGCGGGAGGATCAGAACTTGTCGTCCGGTGAAAAACCCAGCATCTATTCCAGAAGACCGGCATCAGACGCGGCACCCGATTCCCGGAGTCGGCGCCATACCCCGCTTCAGGGAGCCGCGTGGTCTGGAGAGCGGGACAGCCACGGCCGCAGAGCGGGCAGCGCGGGCCGCGGCGGCGGGTGTCCGCAGACGAGCGGACAGCACGGCCGCGGGTGTCCGGAACTGAGCGGACAGTGTCCACAGCCGAGCGGACAGTGTCCGGAACTGAGCGGACAGTGTCCGGAACTGAGCGGACAGTGTTCACAGCCGAGCGGACAGCGCAGCCGAGCGGGCAGTGTCCTCAGCCGAGCGGGCAGTGTCCTCAGCCGAGCGGACAGCATGTCCGGAGCTGAGCAGACAGTGTCTGGAGCCGAGCGGACGGTGGGATAGCGGGTGTCCACTGTCCACAGACGAGCGGACGGTGCGCCGGCGGGCACCGACCAGGAAGTCGGAGCCGCCGGCGCCGCGGCCCGGTCACAGGGCGGAAATGGCGCAGCGTCGCAGTCGCGCCCGCTGCCTCCGACACCACCGGCACATATGTAGACATACGGCCGCACAGCGCCGCTTCCGGGGCAACCACATGTTTTCGGCTGCTGGCTTTAATAAATGATAAAGACTGAGGTTAGGCAATATTAGGCAATATCGTAGAACAACTAACCCGTCTACAAACCAACTGGAGCTCCGAGGCTGTTCACCTGACGGTATATACCATCCCGTGTACTGTAAGCACCAGGTACGCAGTGCGCACGAGCATCCGTCACGCTTTCAGCTGAAAAAAGCCCGAACTTCGTATCGGCACGAACAGCGCTGCGGAGTCGGAGCCAGGGTCGATCGGAGCCGACAGTTCTGGCCGAGGTCGGAGTCGAAATAGCCATAATCTTACAGACTGCCGCACTTAACACTGCATGGTCCAAAGACATGCCCTATAACTCCTTGTTTAACAACATAACATCACGCCCATTGACCTTTCCACACCATATTTTGTCGAAGCTAAGGTCATACTTCCGTTTCGGTCATACCTTAAAAAAAAACAACAACACAAAAATAAGAAGACCGCGGCTGCGACAGAGTCTGCTTCTAGTTCTGCATGCTATTTTAAAGGTAAATTTGGAATGTACGAGTATGGAAGGCTGTGAAAGGCGCTAGGGGCCGGTTCAAGCAAGATCTCCGACATGAACTTTCCTCTTATGATATGGACTCCAACAGTAACGTCCGGAGTCGGAGCTGAAGTCGGAGTCGGAGTCGATTTTTGAGGCCGGGGTCAGAGTTGGAGTAGGAGTCCCCAAAAAGTCCACCGACTCCGCAGCCCTGGGCACGCACCCCTTGAGAGGGGCGTAAGGCAAACCGAGTGTCTGTGTGTTGTTCGTTCCCTGATCCCAGTTGTTGTAGACGTTGCCAGCCAGTTTATCAGATTTCAGCTCGGTCAAGATGTGTGGGTCTGTTCCCGTGACTCCTCCGAGCAAACCTGAGAGAATTTCTGAGGAGGCGGATGAGCGTTGTTTTCTGACCGTTACGGTAACATTTTATACTTCTCGGAGGAAATCGTCTGCTCGGAAGCGGCACCGTAGACCGTTAATGTCGCACCAAATATTTTGAGAGAAAATATTTTTACCTTAGTTTTCCAGCTAGCGGGAAAATTTTACATTATTTTCAGCATAAAACAGAACCTTTTTGATCCGTCACTGACGTTTTATTTTCAAACGCTTCTCGAATGTCATTTGATAAACAATGAGGTTTGCATTACGCGGACCAGCCACCATTGTATGGTGTTTCTGACTATTTCAGTGCACTACAAAAAGCCATCACAGGTTTGATAGAAGGCCGGAGGGGCTTTGCGGACAGCTGGGAAGAAGAGCTGGAGGAGTGACCACAGGAGTGACCGGAGCAGTTTTAAAATGGGGGTTGGTTAGAGGATGTCTGAGTTACTGCTGAACCTCGCTTTGGTCCTGATGTAGACAGCCGCTCGTGCGCTGTCTGCGCCGCCCGGTCCGGTCACGGGACGGGCCGGAGTGTGTCACTCGGGCCGGAGTGTCTCACTTCCTGGCCAGCCGACTGCGGTCACGAGCGGCGGCACACAAAGCGGGGACTGAACGGACGATAAATGGCCGGCCGATCGCAGGAGGCTTACATCAGCGGTATCAAACCTCCGTCAACGTAACGGCAGCGCGGAAAAATCCCGTGTACCGAACTAAATGTCGCTGTGTTCCGGTCCGTAAGGGAAAAACGTCACGTCACGCAGTACTAGAATTTATCTGATACTATTTCAATATATATCTACGGTTATATTACGTCAACACGGCATGTGACAACTTGAAATGTCCTGCCTTGACGGCACCGGATGGGGACTCGAGACCAGCAAATGAGCTAATGCGACTCAAGTCATGCCCACAAGTACGGAAAATATGACAAAACAATGTGGGGACGAGTGACATCAATGAAGTGCACGACTGCGTCTAAGGCCGACTCACGACTCAGACACGACTCGGACGCGACTCAGACACACTCAGACAGCAGACAGTACTCAGTCCAGCACAGGGGCTAGCAGAAAGCGCCGATGGGAATGTGGGGCCAAGCGCGCACTTGGTTGGCAGGCGGGCCGATCGTTTGAGTAATGCTCTCAGACACTCCGGAGGTAGGTAACAACCTTCCCGACAGCGCAGACAACGTGGAGTGAAACCAATTGTTGTGCGTTCAGCCAGCCCAATTGATCAAAAGGATAACATGAATTGGGGCGGGGGAGGGGGAGACATTGGTCTGCGCAGGCACCCTAGTGAGTTGTGCCCCTCCAACAGGGCAGGCCGACCAGCCCCCAAAACACTCACTGCACCCGACTGCGGGCTTGCTCCCATGGGAGCTTCCCGCATGGGATAAATTTGTCCGTCTAGCCCGGAACACAAGGTTGGGGAGTCGGAAAGGACTGGATTGCCCTGAGGATGGAAACGACGGAACGGTGTCCACCCTAGAGCCGCCTTACAAACAGGCGGGCCATCCGACGACCACATCGGAGCAGGCCACCAGGGAGTCCACCCGGCAGTGCAGACGCACCACACGACAGAGATAGAGGCTGGCGCCAGTCTGTCCCTTCTCCCTCCACTGCCCACCGTCTGCGTCCTTCCCCAGCGCGTCTCGTTCTTCCTCCCGGCGCGTCCCGTCCTGTCCTACCGTCCTGTACCCGCGAACACAGCCGCCGTCGAGGCCGGGGAAATACACGGCTACGGTAAACAGTGAAGTTAGGCGCGCCAACAGAAAACAACGACCAGCAATAGCGCCCGATGTCCAACCACGGTCTATAAACGCTGCCGTTTTTAAGTACCATGATCACACGATGCCGATGATGGCGGCGTAGTTCATACTGCGGATACAAGGGAGCGAGCCGATCGACGGTGGCCGATTATCGTAAGAACCGCGCGCCAGGCGCAGGCCGCTGGGTACATTGACCTCAGTCACGCGCAGTCGCTGCTACCACTCATCGACGGGAGCTGTCACCACAACGTGGGTACCCCAAACGAATGGATGCTGCAACTGGATAGAGGTGGCTGCAAATTGATACATGTAGAGTGGATGCCGAGTAGGAATCGATATGCGCTTACAGCAGCAAAATACCCCCAGATTGCAGGTCAGAGATCAGGTCATAATCAGGTCGTCATTTCAGGTCAGAGCAGGTCATTTCAGAACATGGCTGTCAAAAACAAACTTCACGAAGGTAATGAAGCGAATATAGACATACGTTTCTAGCAGAAATCAGGCCAGCAGTGGCAGTGACGGAGCTCACACAGCCATGTACTCTGCGGAGACTGAGCGGCAATCAGACGGAGCACGCACACTACTCAGCTCTGCATTGTGCGGAGACTGAGCGGCAATGACGGACTACGGAGCACACACAGCCATGTACTCTGCGGAGACTGAGCGGAAACTACGGAGCACACACAGCCCTGCGCTCGGCGGAGGCCGCTGGCAGGAACACTCACCCCGTGGTGCCACATGAAGTCCAGCAGTCCGGACGCCAGCGTCCTGTTGAACTCGGTCAGTCGCTGCAGACTGTAACATACAGGCGACACACAGGGGCGCGTCAGACAGGCTAACAGACCGGGCGGGCGGAGCGGGCTCCAACTGAGCATTCCCGCTGTCCGCCCAGCCGACTGCGTAATCATGTCGTTCCTCATAACACTAACTCCTGCAGAAGGAGCGGGCAGGTGTATTCATCCTGTGGAGAGGGCACGGCGATCAGCATCACAGACAAAGCACTGTCGACATGTTAATTGTCCAATGGCTCGTGATCGAAATGTTAGGGCTCTTACCGGCCTCAGCGGATCACCGGCAGCCGATCAATGGCTAGCACTGCCATCTGCCGTACGTCAGTGGAGTCTGTGTAAAGCTGAACGCCCGCTGGTACCGTACACCGCTCACCCCACAATACCTCAGTCCCCCGTTCACCGCATCTCACACATAGTTACCTCTCCCCCGTTGGTCTGATGCGGCTCACCTCTGTTCGCTGAACATGTTGTGCTCGACCAGCCGGCCGCTGACGGTGCGGCACAGGCCCAGGTCGAACAGCGGCAGGCCGAACGAGCAGTCGAGCAGCAGCCAGTCGTCGCCCTCGTCCCCGGCTCCGGCCTCCGCCGTCACCTCCGAGCCGCCCTCCGAGCCGGCCGACGAGGCCAGTCCGGAGGAGGCGTGGTCCACCTCCCAGCGCAGCAGACGCGCCGCCTCCGCGTCCCGCAGCCCGTTCGTGGGCTCGTCAGACGGCGCCAGCCGGCTGTCTTCCGGGCCAGACGCGCTCTCGCTGGTTGGTGGGGCGCCCTCGCCACCCTCACTGGCCGGTGTCGCGCCCTCGCCACCCTCACTGGCCGCTACCGCGCCCTCGCCGCCACCACTGGCCCGTGTCGCGCCCTCGCCGCCCCCACTGGCCGGCGGCGCCAGCGGCTGCAGGTCGGCCGGCGGAGGGACGCGCCACGGCACCACCACGGCGGCGGCGGAGGCGGGGGCGGGGGCGGCGGCGGGCGGCGGACGCAGCCGGAGCAGTTTGACGAAGCCGCAGCTGTTCTGGAGCGGCAGGTGTCGGCAGAGGGTGGCGACCACGGCCGGCGGCGGCCGTCCGGCCGGCTCCAGCGGGAACGGCACATGACGCAGCTCGCCCTCGGCGCTCCAGCCGAGACCCTGCCGCAGAGAGCGAGAGAGATGGAGCGACTCGGGAGGGCAGGTATCGAGACCCTACTGCTCAGCGGGCGCGATGGAACAACTCCAAGAACTCAACAGGTCATAGTTAGGCATACTCTGGGGAGCCACAGAGGCTAGTGGGAATCAGTGGACGGTGTAAGATAAGTCAGGTGAAAGGTGGATAGGACAACAAACAAACCTGGCTTTGTAGGCTCATTCACTCAGACAAATCACAAAGGCAAAGGCTTTGCAAGCATATCTGTATACTGAACGGCACAAAAAAAAAACAGTGAAGGTCATTTAAATTATGAAGCCAAATATGACAAGTTCATCTTATGGCTAGCATCCAAGAAAAACTTTCTGATGCCAGTGTAGAAAGAAAGCACAAAACCCAACTCGCAAATTTCTTTCTTTTGCGGTGACTAGAATAATATAAAACGCATAAATTATAGAGAACTCAACAGCTATGAGAGAGACTTAAAGATGTGACATTTCTTTCGAATCCTCACATTCAAGAATGCCAGAACCCCGCCACCGGTGGGGGGGGGGAGGCTTGGTAGTCCGCCCCGGGCCCCGGCCCGGCCCGCTCACCTGGACCAGCACGGCCGAGTGGGAGAGAGCCTCGTTGAGCGTCATCAGCGCGCCGCTCACAGAGATGACGGCCGGGTCGTGGCCCCAGGTGGTCACCAGCAGACGGTCGAAGGGGGCCAGCGCCGCCGGCAGGCGCCGCAGCCGGCTGCCTGCGCCACGCCGGGGGTGTGAGGGCGGGACTGGGTCACACCGGCGGGACAGAGCGGGTCACACCGGCGGGACACCCGGACAGCACGGGGACAGCACGGACAGCACGGGGACAGCACGGACAGCACGGGGACACACGGACAGCACGGGGACACCCGGACAGCGCGGGGACACACGGACAGCACGGGGACAGCACGGACAGCACGGGGACACACGGACAGCACGGGGACACCCGGACAGCGCGGGGACACACGGACAGCACGGGGGCACATGGCGCCGACGGACGAGGGGCGGCGACGGTAGCCGAGCAGTCGACACAGACAGGCCGGGCATTGTAGATGTCGCTGACATGGGTATCCCTCACCCCAGAATACAGGATCACGCCCAGACATTCCGCTCAAACAGCGTGTCGATATAGGCGAACACTATTTGCTCAGCACCGTATGTTTGTTGTATTCACTGATAACGGTATAGGCAGCGGTTCCCACCTTTGGTGAGGCAGAAGGAGGGCGGCCCGGAGCCGGTCAGGTGGTACAGGTAGAGCTTCAGCCAGACAGAGTTCACCTCGGCCGCCGCCGGGCCGAAATGGGCCGGCAGCTCGGCGGCCGTCAGCGCGCGGCTCTCCATCGACAGCGGGCACATCGACACCAGCACACTGCGGCGCACAGCGACACGGGTCAGATCCGCGCACAGGCATTGGTCAGATCCGCGCATAGACACTGGTCAGATCACACAGACAGTGGTCCAATCACACAGACAGTGGTCCAACCACACACTGTAGCACACAGAAACTGGTCGAATATATCCTTCGAAAGCGGGAACATGTACACCAGCACTCTGTAGCACTAGTTTCAGGTGAGTGAGGCGGGCCGGCCGGGGGACCGGGGGTGGGGGATGGGCACTTGCCGGTAGTTTTTGGTGAGCAGGCGGGCAGGCCGGGGGACCGGGGGTGGGGGATGGGCACTTGCCGGTAGTTTTTGGTGAGCATGGACCGGGGGTGGGGGATGGGCACTTGCCGGTAGTTTTTGGTGAGCATGGACCGGGGGTGGGGGATGGGCACTTGCCGGTAGTTTTTGGTGAGCAGGCCGGCCGGGGGACCGGGGGTGGGGGATGGGCACTTGCCGGTAGTTTTTGGTGATCAGGGACCGGGTGTGAGGGATGGGCACTTGCCGGTAGTTTTTGGTGAGCAGACGGCCGCAGGTGGCTGGGTCCAGGCTCTGCAGACTCTCGCAGCGGACGAGGTCGAGCGGCAGGCCCAGGAGGCGCTGCTCAGATCTCAGCGCCTGTGCAGAGGACGCGGCACGTGAACCCGGCTCCGGTCAGCAGCGCGTCAGCCACGGCCGGCGGACGGGCCGGCGGGCACCGGACAGTGCGCGGCAAGGCATCACGGTAAAATAAGGACCTAATCTTAAAAATAAGTCTTTGAAAGAACCGAGCATGGTCAGAGATAAGAAATCTGACCTGAAAAACTACGCATTTAATGTGTATAGCTTGGTTTCCACTTTTCAGGTTAAACCGAAGAAGGGAAACTCATTCTAGACCAGTGATAAGGTTCCCAAAACAACTGAGAGACATATTCCCTCACTGACCTGGATGACGATTTTGAGCGCCAGCGCGTGCAAGAAGTAGCGCTCCGCCTCGCCCTCGCTCTCCTCTGTCGAGATGTTGTCGAGCTCGGTAAGCAGAGAGTCGATCGACTCGTCGGGCAGCTTTCCCACCTCGAACATGGTGACGGCGTGGTTCTTCAGGCCCGGCGACAGGTTGCCCATCATCAGGAAGGCGGTCAGTGTCGAGTCGAACAGGAAGCCGACGCGCTGCGTCTGCGGGCGCGCGTCGTCGGCCGGCGGCTCGGCGTCGGCGTCGGTCGGCGGCGCCAGCAGCGCCTCCTGCAGCTCGCGGGCCACCGGGTCGGCCGGCGCGGCGTCCCGCTCGTCGGCCGCTGCCGGCGACAGGATGGTGCTGGCCGGCGCGCCGCCGTGCCGCTCCACGCAGCGCCAGCTCGGGTGCAGCTCCGCCTCCGGCAGGCCGCCGCCCTTTCTGCGCGCGAAGCCGAGCCGCCAGTAGACGGAGACGGCGTTTTTGACGAGCTGCAGCTCTATCTGCAGCAGGGACGCCAGCTCGGCCACCGTCGTGGCCTCGTCGATCGACACGAATATCTTGTAGAGCAGCTTCTCGAAGTAGTCGCCGAGCACGCGGTTCATGACGAACCCCTCGAGCGGCGGCACCGAGAACCGGTCGTCGTCGTCCACCGGCACGTCCACGTACACCAGGCCCTTGGAGTAGAGCGAGTGGACGACGTGGTAGGCCAGGCGGCCGGCCGGCTGCGACTGCTGGTCGATCAGCAGGTCCACCGCCGCCTTCTCGTCCGCCGACAGCTTCCGCACGTCGTCCTCCATCACCAGCCCGACGTCCACCCGCCAGCTCGGGTCGATGAACACGGGCACCGGCTTGGCCGGCAGCAGCGGCCGCACAGACTTCTTGCGGAAGGCGATCCGCTGCTTCAGGCCCGAGCGGCATTGGTTCATCAGGTCGATGTACTGGTTACGGCCGATGCCGAGCAGCCGCAGACCTGGTGAGCAGAGGAGCGGGCGGTGCATCAGCGGCCGGCTGGCAGTGTCCTCCTCCCCTCCCGTCCGTGGTCGGGCAGGCACATCAAACGGCAAATGGCAAACAACGCACTCTCCACTGGGTTAGTCATTTCTTCATCTCGAAACTCATTGTTCCAATGGTACCATTGAAATCCCCAGGCAATGACCGCCCCGCCAATCATAAAGGGCGCCGCGTGACGGGACCCACCCCCACTGTCCAATGTACCCGGAGCACCCGCATTGCGGCGGTGAAGTCGGGCAGCGAGACGTGACCCCCCCCCCTCGTGTACAGGAGCACTCACAGTCGGCGGCGGTGAAGTTGGGCAGCGAGTCGTAGCTGCGCTCCTGCTCCATGATGAGCTGCACCACGCTGGTGCAGTACTCGAACGGACTGAGGCGCAGGCCCTTCACCACAATGTCGGCCAGGTGGTACGGGTAGAGCATCAGCTGCTGCCGGCTGTACTCGACCAGCCGACGGTAGTAGGACGCCTCGTCGCGGTGCACGCGCTGCACCAGGTTACCGCGGTGGCGCAGCTGGTTCTTGATGCTCACATCGAGCACATGCGCCTCGTACTCCTTCTGGGACTGGCCCAGGTACTGCCGAGACAAACCAAGGCGGACAGAGAATAGTGCTAGGCGTTAGAGCATGGTTTAGGCAGAACTACGATTAAAACAGCGAACAAATCCACACCAACTTTATATCCCTGATCTGTCACGAGCTGACAGTTCACGGTCGTTTCCGTTCACAATCTACAAATGAAAACATATGTTATGTAGGTACCACGCTGAAAAGGGGCCGCTTGATCTAGGAAATCGGTCACTGCCAGTGTCTCCAGCGTATGAAGCCGACCACCAGAGCGGGCCATGTCTTGCTATATGGCCTATGGGAAAGTTGAAAATTCGTCCGACATCGACACTGTTCTATCAAATAGTTCTATCGAGTTTTGCGATTGGGTAACGGAAGCTGGGCTCTGTACAGGGTGTCCCATAATTACCCGGACATTGTTAATTAGCGTATAAAATAAGGCAAACATGATTGCGCTTTTTTCTTTTTACCGTCCTATATAGTCAACTACGGTGGCTGTGAAATAGCACATGCAATAGATACGCTTGTTACAAGATCAGCCGACAATGATGGAAAATGCCAGCCATTGCTGGTCTCAGTTGTTTTACGGGTCTCCCGAAACTGGGTGTAGGCCTGTTTTCTTTGACCTCTTGCCGGAGGATAATACAATCATATAAGATAAACTTGACATCAAAGTGTTCCAAGGCCATAAGGTATTATCCCCCAAAACAAAAATTTCTGCCTAAGCCACTTTTGCTGCGTTTTTTACATCTGGAGTGGAGAAGCTCCATGTCTGAACATTGCGCAACCTTTGGCTTCCAACAGACTTGGTTTCCAAAACAAACCCGTTCATGGCCATTTGGTTCACGGCATCCAGTTTTCGCACTGGTAGAATATTACCGCAGTAGTACCCTGTGCTAACGGTTGTCTTTGGGCCATCATATCAAGCCCAATGAGTGCACGGTGGCTCAAAATGTCTCACAATTTGATTTTCGACGGGTGTCTGGCCGTCTCTGCTGTTGGGGCGTTGTAGCCATCTGACGTTCACACAAGCCTTTTTCGGGCGGTTCAAATGACATAATACCTTCGTTAGACCACAAAGTGAGCCTCAATATACTGTTTTGTTGTATATGTTATGTTTTTGGGATGAGTTGTAGTGATTTGCGCTGCTTTTCCCGTAGTTTTCGCATATTTTTCTGGCGAAGGACCCCAAATTCCAAAATTTTGTCGAAGATAGTGGTGCAAAGTAGACTGATGTTTTGTAGATAATCCTGATCTATTGTTTAGCTAGTTTTTAGCTAGATCAGTGACGTTTGTTGTCTATGACAAGCAACCACTTGTTTGACAACTGGTGCATGGCCCTTTTTGGCCGAGCCCAAGCTTGTCAATCAGGTTTATCTCTTGCTCTCTCTGGCTTCGTTAGCTGATATAATTGCGCTTTGCTCAATCCTAACTGCTTGCAGATGAGCTGCTGAAGCTCTCCAGCAAAAACCATGCCGAAAGTCCGTTTACAAAGTTGAGAACGGGAGTTGATTCACCATGGTTGCCTTTTAGTGGCTTAAGCTGAAAACGGAAAAGGACTACTCTTACTTGACTGTGGATAATAATTGATTCGAGTCGTTACCGGCCACCAAAAGCACACAGTCCCCAATCTCGATAGCTAAGGGATATCTTATAAAAGTATGATGCTTGTATATCATTACAAGCGAGCGCAGTCGTACTTTTAGCCAGAAAATAAATGTCCGGGTAATTCTGGGACACCCTGTAGGTATGAACAAGTACCTATACAGGGTGTCCGGAAAGTCCTGGCGCCTCTTTTGGACGTCGTCTAACGCGCGCTGTTACCTATTATGGGACTTTCAACCAATCACCACAGATATGACCCCTCGTTCACCGCTCAGCTAGGGGTCGCGTAAATATGACTTTGAAACCGTTTTCAGTAATAGGTAGGTATGTGCAGGGCGAAGATGCACCTTATCGCTGAGAGCCCGCGCGCGGGGGCCCGGTGCGGCTTGAACGAGGCGCGAGTTATAGCGCGATGCGGCGTTTTCCGGCGAACGGTTGAGCAGGCAAAGGTGCATTCCGGATCGGAAATTTCTTAGAAAATATTCTCACTCAGTTACGACCACGGTATGCCAAAGCTGCTGAGACTGAGACAGCACTTCACCGGCAATGGAAGAAAATCTGGGGTCTGATGGACACAAATGTTCCATCAGCTTCGTCAAAGTCAAATAAATGAATGACAGGCTGGTCTACGAGGGGTTCCTGGGCACGAGAATCAAGGCGACTTGCCCTAAGAGTCATTTCGCACTTCAACAGCACGGAGCGCCCTCCAACAACGCCGCTGCCGTCCAAACCAAACTGACAGAGGAGCTCGGCGGACCAGATCACCGTGTTGAAAAGAGAGTAGGTCACCGTACTCTCCCAGCCTTAGCCCGCTCGACTAAGGGGTGCTATGCGTTTTGCAGAATAAGCTCTAGGCCACCTCTCACCCCAGCCTGGAGTCGCTGAAGACTCGCATCATGACAGCATGGGAGGACAGGAAATGCCCTGCATCATCAAAACCCGCAGGCGTTTCCGCCCTGGCGTCGAGGCCGTCGTCGGCACAGACGGTGGTTACAATGAATGGGCACTGAGCAGAAGCATGTGGCTTGGTGTTCCTGGTCATTGTTTTTATTGTTGAATATCTATGGACCAAAGGCATTTATTTTAAAAATGTTGAAAAGCGCCAGGACTTCCCGGACACCCTGTAGAGCAGAAATGTGCATGGATCCGAGAAAACGGATCTGGGATCGGATCCCACCGATCTTGAGCTCGGATCCGTCAGGATCATAGATCCAGCACTTCAATTTATCAAGAGATCCTCAGCGATCATAGATCCGAGTCTATTATTTTTTGCTTGAGATCTAGTGAGATCATAGAATAGTGTCCCAAAATTTGTAGATGTGGGTGGGAAACGACATCCAAATGCAAATCATTTTCCACTCTCACCTCCAGTTTTCAAGCCCAATTTTCCACTCCCAATCCCACCGAGAAGGAGCAATTGCGGGAATGGTTGTTTTACATCTGTCACAATTGTAGATAGATTAATGTTTTTTATCATTTTCCCACTCTTTTTGGGCCTTACCTGACCGACAATTTTTCACTCTCATCCTTCTTTTTTTTGGTCAGCAATTTTCCCCTCTGACACCCAAGCAAAAATATGATTTTGGTACACTGTCATAGATTCTCATTTACTTCTTGTCAACTCAGAAATCCCAGAAAATCACTCGTTGCAACTCACAAACGCTCTGTTTTAGAGACATTATGTGATTGCACGTCATAATCAATAGTTTTGTGGCACTTACTGACTCAGAAACACTTGAAAACCTCGTTCCAAATGTTGTGCATGGTGGGATACACTCAGATCATAGATCCACGTTATTGGTTTATCGTCAGATCCTATGAGACATAGACTTCTCTAGCTACAAATATATAGAGAAGTCTGTACATATATAGAGAAGTCTGTGTATAACTGTAAATATATAGAGAAGTCTGTTCATATAACCCTCAGAGGTTGGGCACGCGATCAAACCCAACCAGAAGTCTGTGTATGAGATCATAGATCCAGTTTAATTTTTTCACGAAGGATCGGGTGGGATCATAGATCCTAACCTGCAGTTTGCTTCGAGATCCACTGAGATCATAGATCCATCACTCGAATCCATGCATATGCCTGCTATAGAGCATATAGAGCTATAGAGCAAGGTCATATGAGGTCAGGTCATTTTCGTGACCTCACCATTATAAGTCAAAGGGGAAAATGAAAACTGCTATTCTGGCGCCGGGAACGATCTCCCACTATCTCAAGCACACAGAATCATGATTTCATGCAATCCTTGCGAGGTTCGATGCGTCACTTTTCGCATGTTGACCCTGCGTGACGTCATTTATGGCGTCATTAGGGTCATATTAGTTTTTCGTCAATAACTCCCGATCAAATTGAGCTAACGAGTCGGGAAAGCCACCAATGGACTCAGGAAGACCTGCCGAATCGAATGATATGCGACATGACCTCCTTTGACCAATTTCGTGACCTGGGGCGCTGACCTCACCGTGACCCGAGATCAACACCCTAAGTTGACCTCAACCAAACAAAAAGTATATCATTCGACGCGTCTGAGCGAGGCGAACAGGATTCCGCCAAAATCGCGGCTCTGCGGCCGTTTTTCGTGACGCTATTCACCGAAAACGGAACCGTACTTTGGGTCACTTGACCTGACCTCAGAGGTCACCGGTTGACCTAGGACCTTAAAATCGGGTATAAATCTCTGCGTCTCGTAACAGCGCACACGCTCGTTTTTTCCGCGACGCGCTAGCTCCACCAGGGGCGAAACGGCGAGGGGGAGTGGGAGTGGCGGCGCGCTTCAGTTGCAGCACACGAAAGGGCCCGTCCCAAGACGGCGCCGCACCGCCGTGCACTCAGCAGCTTTGTACAGGGAGCGGGAGTCGCAGCCCCGATCAGAGTCGACAGTTGTGGCCAGGCCGGCGCCGGAGTCAACTCGCCGAAATGCTACTGACTCCAACTCCGTAGTCGACATTCCTAGTGACTTACAGACATGCTCCTTGCTTGTTTGCCGGAACATTCTACACTCTTTCTTTCTTGTGTTATACGAAATACGCCGAATACGCTGCTGAATAACCTGAGCACCTGATCCAGAGTGAATCGGATCAGCGCCGGAAATCCTTTGGGATACTGGGCTTGATCCCCATGGGCTCACCAAGAAGCAATCCTCCTGATCTCTATAAGATCAACATGATGTACTCTGAGATGTGCATGAGGCCCTCAGAAGCAGAAAGTTCACTATATCAAAATATATTCCTTGTAATGTGAAAAGCATATCATAAGCCACTTACCTCTTTGATGTGATTAGGAAGTCTAACCCATGAGCAGTTTTGAAGAACTAGCTTTTCAATTTCAACATCCATTGTTCGAAATTGTTGGTACCACTGGAGAAAGTGGTCACCTGGAAAAAAGTAAACAAATAAATGCATTCCATGACATGAATGACAGACTGTGAAGATCAGGCATTAACACTCGTTAAAAACTAACCCACAAAAAGACAAATAATGCTGAACCCGAGCTCTTATGTAGGCTACTTGCCAGTTGCCACCACCAGCATTTTTCTCTAGGTTCCAAGCATGATTTGGCATACACTTTGGAGCATCATTTTGGCAAATTCCCGTATAATATAGAGTCCCAGTCATTTCAGGTCATGTCACCAGCAGACGTACATGGATCCCAGACAACCATACATGAAAATTGAGATAATCATAAGACTAATGTCATTCAAGCATGGAATTATTGTTTTCATTTCTTACAAAAGCCTCCATATGACCTAACATTCCTGCCTTCCTTTAGAAGATTACCGTTTAAAACCCATAAGATCCATCTCAGATCCATGATCCTGGATCAACTGTCAATGCTAAGGGAATGCCAAAAAGCTAGTTCATTTGGGCATTTTTAAAAACAATGATTACCACAATTATTCCATGCTTCAAGACTGTTCACCTATGGCTATTTCAAATTTTGCGTTTTACTGTCTGGGATCTGGACACATGTCTGGTCATCAGAGGCCAGTTTTACCAGCAGAAAAATAGCTGTGTCGTATGTGTGTCTTACACTCCGTGCCTTGTGTTTCAGATGTTGCTAATAAAAGCCTAGCATCAGGCATTGTCTCTGAATCACCACAATTTTATTAGCAACATGAAAAACCGATAAAGCGCACCCAAAAAGGCAGAAATATTATATATAAATTGTATATAACGCAATATATATAAATTGCGTTGCTTTAGGATCATTCGCTTTGGTTCATTTGCATTTTATGCATTCGCTAGGGAGAAGTTATGTTCTTTTTGACAGGGGGTGAATGTCGTATGTGTGTCTTACACTCCGTGCCTTGTGTTTCAGATGTTGCTAATAAAAGCCTAGCATCAGGCATTGTCTCTGAATCACCACAAGCTGCCTGCCGGATTTTTTTTTTCCTAAAGGCTGCGTCACATACAGAGCTTAAATGGTGAAGCCCTATCCGCTTACGTGCCCATTGCATTTACACTCCGTATGTGAGGTGATCTTTAGGCAAAAAATTCAGGCAGGAGGCTATTTTTCTGTTGGTAAAACTGGTCTCAAGTCACTAAAACCGATACAAGGCTAGGGTGAGCTTGGAATAATGAAGGTAGTGGTAATGGAATGACAAAGTATTTTTTTTGTAAATAAAGAGCACCATGGCACAATGCACATAGATTAAAATTTCACAATTCAACAGATTTAAACTTTAAAGCATGTGGTGAGCTTGCAAGTACCATAACATGCATCCCAGTTTTTTTCCAAATTGGTTGGCCTGAGGTCATCTTCAGATGCTGGTATCTTCAAAAGGATTTTTGGAGTAGGGGAGCAGCTCAAATTATGAAAATATGAGCTATGCGCTCTAATCCAACAAGGACAAGAACAAGAGATATCCCCTCCATTTCAATGTTTTTGTGTCGTACACCCCCAGTTTATACAATACAGGACTTAGTGTGTTCGGTTGCTGCAAGAATGCTAGGGTCTAGTCAGCCAAGGTCAAATGGGATCAAACTGCATTTTTGCTAACTTGACATACAGTGAAACTTGTGCTCCAAAACAATGCCATTAAATTGCTTTTGATCATCAGAGCGGGCCTTACTAACAACTGGGTAGGTACCTAAGATCAGCTGGCTGGGCAGCTGGCGACGTAAGACAGCTATGGTGCTTATTGATATACTCGGTAATAGATGGACATGAAAACGTGAAATGGAACTCAAAGAAAAATTAATAAATCGATATTCAGTCGGTTATATCCAGCATTGATATTTAACTAGCTCTGCTAGCGCCACCACATCAATATAGCCCCGTTTACATAGGGATTGTTGCAAGCTTATATCTCCGCCAGTTATGTTGCAGAAGATGCCAGTGGTGCTTTACAATTTACAAAATTATCCCATAAATATCCAAAGATCAGTGCATCGAACTTTCGCAAAATAAATGAGCTAGAACTTGAGCTAGAACCTCGTCAAAATTCAAAAATGCTATGCAAACGCGACTATTGACGCCAACTGCTTTCTCCGTTCTATTCAGTTCAAACTTGCTTACGTAGCTAATGAAAAATGCCTCATGACCATTCTGTAGACAAAAATCTCCGTAAGCAGCAAACGCAATAACATGAATATAAGTGTTGGTGAAAGCGCGCCATAGTTGTCTCCGCTGAAATATTTTACATCCGTCAATTAGACAACACTATTCGACCGCCACCCTTGCAGCAATTCTATAACTCAGGAACTACTGGACTGACCGGAACGAACGAAACACTACTGGAATCACGGGGTACGATTTTATCAGCTGTTTCGAAGATCGTGACCCCAGGTGACCTCGGTGACCTCAAGAGGTCAACTCCGTATTGACGCCTATTGCAGTCATTCTATAACTCGGACTACTGGGCCGATCGCGAAGAAAACACCACCAGTCGAATCAACGTATGCGATTTCATCAGTCGATTCGAATATGGTGACCTTAGGTGACCTCGGTGACCTTGGGAGGTCACATGACCGTTGTGGCCTATCGCAGCCATTATATAACTCAGGAACTACTGGGTCGATCGCGAAGAGAATACCACCAATCGAATCAGCGCATGCGATTTCATCAGCCGATTTGAATATGGTGACCTCAGGTGACCTCGGTGACCTCAAAAGGTCTACTTTACGTTTTCGCCTAATGTAGCCATTCTATAACTCAGGAACTGGGGGCCGATCGCGACGGAAACACCACCAGTCGAATCAGCGTATGCCATTTCATCAGCCGTTTCGAATATGATGACCTCAGGTGACCTCGGTGACCAAATGACCTCCCAAGGTCACCGATGATCTAAGTCAGGTCAATTTCTCGACCTCCCTATTATAAGTCAATGGGGGGATCAACTCCTTTTTTTTCACTAAAACGCGTCAGAATGGCCCCATAGGTATGCCATACATGACTTCGTATACGATCAACCTTCACTATCTTGAGGCCTGTTTTGTTGTTGGGCAGCTGTAAGGTCATGTGACGTCATCAAAGGTCACCAAAGGTTTTTTTGCTAATAAATTCTTACATGAACAAGATACAGCCGCGCGAATGGTCTCATTGTGTTCAGCTCGTCAAGGCGCATCGAATGATATGCATGATAACCTCGAGGTCACGTGACCTGAGGTCAACCTTTTACCTTGACCTTTCGAGATCAACATATACCTACCTATATGACTCGATGCGGATTGACGAGAGGATCACGATGGTGCCCTGTTCTTAGCTTGACCAATTCGAAAGTTATTCGAGAAAAACTCTCCATATCTAGCGCCGCCATTTTGACTTTTTTGACCACGGGTGCGGAGCCGGAGCCGGAGCTGGAGCCGGAGCCGCCGGAGCCGACATATTTAGTCCGGAGCCGGACCCGGAGCCGGAGCCGTGAAACAATATAGTCCGGAGCCAGAGCCGGAGCCGGAGCCGTCAGAAAAGGCGGCGACTCCGGCTCCTTTTTTAAGAGGAAAAATTCATTGACCTATGTATTGATCAACCATGCCTGCGTCCAACATCAAACATCCCTCGCCTACTGTGTGCAAAGGGACACGAAAATAAATTCAGCATTCCGTATCGTATCACCACGCCTCTCCTCACCCCGCTCCACCGTCCCCCATGAACACCACCAAAGGCTTAGCGCCGACAGTCTAACCCGTCCCATGGAAAAGACTCGCAGCTGCGGCAGGTGCAATCTTTCTTCGCCCCCCGCCCCTGCCCCCCCCCCCACACACACACATATCAAACAGCAGCTGACTGTCCATCTGGTGCTCGGCGGCGTATTTACAAATTGCAACCGAGCTCCGCCGTAGGGTATTTTATTTCCGCCGTAGTGTATTTCACTTAGGGGATTTTCTACCATACATCTGCCTGAGCTTAGGGTAATTACAATTTGTCGGCGACGTTCGAAAATGATGCACCTTTTTTCGCAGTATAGGATATCGCATATGCATATTTCTGCCTTTTTGGGTGCGCTTTATCGGTTTTTCGTGAGTAACTCGCGTAAAAACCGTCCGATCGCGACGAAACTTTCAATACCCCCGATTTTATCATTTTTACACCTACCCTGAAAATTTCATGACCCTGACCCAAATGACCTTTGACCTGTGACCTATTTCTCGAGACCATGTTTGGCCCGAATCGCGATTCGGCGTATGTCGGCTCGCATTAGCCGCGCGGTTGCAGTTTTCACGTGGTTTCAAGCGTTGAAACATGTGATATGATGCTGGTCCCATGCATTAGGGTGGGTGTCAAAGGTCACCTGAAGGTCAGGTCAGCTCAATGACCTTTGATGACCTCGGTTCACTTTTTCGAGTTTTACATGTTTCTAGGCTAGTTTTTGGAGCTGATTTCGAATTTAGCAACCATTTGAACATCACAGCGGGTGTAACGAAATTATCCAGACACCTTTCTTCCCGCTGTAAAAGCAAAACAATCTGGTACTTTTTCTTTTAACTGAGCTTGTAGTCACCTTTCATAAAAACACAGTTTACTCACCTCGTTGGTTTCTGCATATCTTTGGAGTGGTTTCAAAGGACAGTCAGAGAGGAAATGAGGAACCCACACAGTGGCGAATGTTCTGGAGCATTTCAGCCAATGGATTCTCCAGCACACTGGCTTTGATGCGGACCAACGCCGTCTAGACCTGTGCCTGCGGTTGAGCAGTGCTTATGGCGGGTGGCTCTTCATACACCTCCTGCTGAACAAGAGCCCACAGGTTTTCGATTGAATTGGGATCGCGACTTTTTCCAAGTCATAAGCGTTAGCCCAGAATGATTGAAGGTTCTATCGGCATCACTTCCCGTTCTTTTAGGGACTTTTAAGTAGCGCGCCGCCACGCATGAAGACAGCGTGGCTTGAATCAGGCATCAGTGCGCGTTCAGAAACCGTGCCCTCCTATGCCGTCTGGTTGAGCGCCTCCAATCATGCTC